TAGTGGGTGCCGTCGACGATCGCATACATGCCTTGCGAACCGTCTCCGGTGGCTATGCCGTTTGTTCTGTCGTTACGGTAGCCGGTAAAAGGCGAGGAGAAAACACCGTACGCCTTTTGGCCGTTGACTGTAACGGGTGCGCCGTAAGCGCCGGCTAGGTAATCGTTACCATTTACGTTGGGGCCCCTGGCGGCGCCGCCAGGCGGAGCCTGCGTTAGATGGTTACCTCGACCGGATTGGTCATAGATAATAGAGATCAAACAGGTTGAGCCGCTGCAGAATTGGTCCTGGGTACCAGCATTGGCAACACCGCCCGCAGATAGGGGCGTAACATCGGTTGTGGCGTTGTCGGAACCACGGAGCAACTGATATAGTGAGCCGGAATAGTTGTTATACTGAAGTACAAGAAGTCAGTAAATTTGGCTCTCGGCAATGCTTATTGAAGGTTTGAGATTGTGAAGTTCCATGGCGACATATCTCCAGACGGCCCCGAAAACTTGTGTCACAAGGGGTGTATAGAAATACAATATGATGCCGGAGGTTACTAACCAAAGCACGAGTGGTGCTGTGTGCGGCGACACATGGTGTTCCACCAGATGCGTAGATGTCGCAAGGCCCAGCGCTGGCCAGCGTGGCCGTGGTGGCCAGAGCGAATAGTTTCCGGAAAATCATCTTGTATGACTGTGGATAGTGAGACGGGAGGAAGGGCGCGTGGATTTCCAGCTCATCAAGAGACGGCCATCGAGGCGACGGCGCATGTTTTAAATCTATTTGATGTCTCCCTCCCTTTCTATATATCTACATACGTGACACCACATTTCTGCAAGCCCCCTGGCTTGGAACGAAGAAAACGCGCATACGCCAATATCCACCTTTAGTCTCCCTTACGCCAGTATTGCTTGTCCACGCTCACCTTTGCAAGCGTCCAAGGTGGAATGAAACGTTGCTAAACATGAAGAAAAACCAACAACCTGCCTCTGTCGACTCTAGCGTGGCATGAACAAGACCGCATGATGGTTGTCGGGCCGAGTAGCGAGTAGAGAGATCAAGCCTATATTTAAGAAATTATCGTGGTGCGTTTCGAAGTCATGGGCTCACAACATAGCATCGTGACTGCTTATGGCGTTTCTTGGGCCCTGTCTGTTGGATAGCTCAATGGAATACTCCGGGTCTTGTGCCCTAAAGAAACAGTTAGTACTATCTCGACCTAACATGTGGATCTCAGCAAATCTCTTGCCTTTATGGGATAGCTCACTTTACCCCGGAATCCACCTTTGAACTAGCATCGATAAAAATTACTGTATTTGCGGGGTTGCTCCGACCTGACGTTCGCCATGCGGTCTTGCCAAGCCTTCACGATCTTTTCTATAGCCTCATTTCTTCTCAAACAACTAGTGGCAACTTTTCTTCAGTTTCACTCTCCTACACTGGAGTAGAGATGATTTTTGTCGGTAGCTCATACGTAGAGCTGCACAGTCACAGGCTAGTTAATTGCGCTTACTACTTTATCTAGGGGAGAGCATGGATTGACAATAATTGCACGATAATAAGTTAACTACTGTAGGCTTAAACAATAACTTTCGGTCAATGCAGAGCCGATTCCATGTAGTTTTGATGATTATGTAACACTAAGTCGGCTCCTAGAACTTCCGGTTCTGGGACTTGCTGAATCGTAAGAATAGCATTCACAGCCTGCGGCTCAAGAGAGATAAAGGGAAGGAAGCTGTAGCGCAAGAAGGCGCCTATTTCGAAATCCAACTGGCAGAAACAGCTGTATTAATTCAATGAGGATTTACATCCGATATAGATATTCTCCGTAGAGACCGCACCGCGTCCAACGACATGTGTAAAGCTGACGGCGCGGTAGATTTAAGCTTAGAATTAGGTTTTCAGCCCCTGCGGCGCTGTCGTAGCTGGCTGATTAATTATCCAGTTAGCAGAGAGTTATACAATGACAATAGAGTTAGGTTCATCTGATCTATACACACTAGCGCACTGCGTTGCCAAACTAGAGCGAAGCTTGAATTTCACCAAGTCGTACTAGCCTATCTTGACACCGAAAAGTAATATCACCTTTATGTTAACTACTTTGTTACTATCACGACGGAGACGCATGCGACCCGCCGTGTCCCAGTCCGTCTCATACACCTTGATCACATGACCCCCACCGACCCATCCCGGTCTCTACCGAGCAACTATGTGACATGGTTATGGGTATTGAGGGGAAGGGGGCGAGAGGAATCATTCAATGCTACCTCGGCCGCGACTTAACTCCGGTGCTATCACCAACTTGATTTAATAAGAACCTCGGTCAGTGCGGAGAAAGGTACCAGATCCTGGGCTTTCGCTTGTGGACTTCTTTTAATCCTTCTCCAACATTTAAGCTCGCGATCGCTTATTTTTTAGTGGGAGAAGATAATTTTTCTTTCCTCTTTGGGATGAATTGGGGTTGGGTTGGGGGTGGGGCTTATTGTATGTTGCACGATCTAGAAATAACAAGCGTTTTCTTCTAGTGCGTTGCGGACGGCAAATGTGACTTGGCAGTGGAACCGGAGATTGGGAGTACTCCTAGTCAGAGGATCTAGTATATAGAAAGCGCTCTTCGTTTCCTTACATTATGAATAGAATAGGCTCTAGATTGTGTTATTGCACTCCTGTCAGTCCCCTCTGGACAACGTGCACTTATTACCTTCCTATAGGAGATCGTGCATGCGCTACTGCGCGAGAGCGTGAAATCATTGATTAACGTGCTAGCGGTAAGTTCCTTTTGAGAGCAGCCATCTCCAAACTTGGTAATTGACACTATTCTGAAAAGAATTTATATTATGAAAGGGTGAAACCAGCTATCAAGACTAGTATGAAAACCCGTATGACAAAAACTTTACCTCGCATTCTGATTCAACTCTGATGTTGCATCGGGGGCCTTTGAAGGACTGCCATTCGCTGGAAATTCACAGGCATTTTCTGGGTCCAACAATTTAAATTCATCAGCTAACTGCTCTACTGGTGAATATTACTGAAATGCATAAGCAGATGCCTACATCTTCATTAAAAACGACTCACGCCGTAAAGGCCCGCTGCCCACCACGACTCTGCAGTCATTTGTAGACTCTACTAGGTTTGATTAATCCCCTTGTTGTCACAGACTTGCAAATATCATTCCTTCACACCATGTTCGAGCAATTTACACTGCGGCATATCCCAAGCCTCTTCGTCGCGACCGTGGCATCAGTCGCCGTCCTCTGGCCAATTACCAACCCAAGAAGATCCCTACTCGAGTTTGGCTTTCCTGCTCACATAGCAGACTCGCCTGCAGCCGCGCCGGTCATGTTGATTGCCCAAATTCGAACCACTACCATCGGCCTTACCATGTACGTGCTATACTTCAAAGGCTAGATGGAAGCTCTTGATATTATCCTGGCAGTGTACGGTACCTCCGCAGGCCTCATCGACAGCTACGCCGTCTGGAAGGAGGGCAACACGAGAAAAGCAATCTTTCGCCTGGTTACATCTTGGACACTGGCTACATGTGGTCTAGCTGGTATGACAGCTGGCCGTTAGAATGTAGAGTTTTGAACGATCTTATCACGAGGGCTGAATACAGGGCTTGGGAAGCGACTGAATATGGGAGTAATATTCTATGAGCGTATAGGCCCTTGGCTATGCAAAGGCTCTGGTCAGTCCCTATACTGAAGTGAACACCATGGGCCAGCACCATCCCGGGGCCCAAGCCTCCAAGAGACAGGCCGCATCTACACTTCCTGAGCCCTTAGAGCCTTCAAATCTCACAAAAAGAGTTGGGGAATCGAATGATCTCGTGGAAACGACGTTAACATCATTGATTGATGTGCATTTGCGACCCGTGCTATCTCTGGTGATATCTGCTCCGACCTGTAGGCCCTTAAGTCAAGCCACTCCCGGCTGACTCTATATATGAACGTGGGTTACCTACACTACTTCAATATGGAGGATTTCAACGGCCTCAGGCACCCTTCTTTTGAGGCGTGGCCGATATCTTAGAGGTCGGAATAGCTTCATCTTATCTCTCTCGAAACCTCTGTAGATGGTCTCCCGTCTGCGCACAGGCTCCCGTATAACAAGGACGCTAGAATAAAAATAGAAGAGATTAAACTCTGTGGCCTTTTTTCTATATAGTTTTATTATGTATTTGGGCATGTATGCTTACTAGTTTCTCGATAACGCTCTAAGGTTTTTGCGGGCCGTACCTTATGTACGTGTCTACCCAGCATAACCTAAATTCATTCTATATCCCCGATGATGCGTGTAGATGTCGTGTAGGATGAACTGCTGATCAGTTACAGAATCAATCTCGAGGATTATGGTCATTGCTAAGAAGGGGCAAGATGAACCGGCCCTAAGCTGGCCGTTAAGTTGGAGTGATGAAACACTTACAGCTAAAGCACCGTATTTATGCTTATCCTTTTGGTTATATTGTTGAAGCTGTACGATGAACTAATTATGGCTGTCTTTTATGTATATTATTTGTCTATCATTTAATCTGGTATTCTTTGCCCCCCTCCCCTCCTCTCCTATTAAGGTCTGTCTTAAACTTTGATAATACCTTTATATAGCTTGATATAGACTCCAGCCATTGCTGGTGAGCTGCGCGATGAATTACTCCTAGATCGTCAAGTGGTAATATACTTACGTCCCGGAGGCCGCATTTTTCCCCCCTTCTTTTTAATTTGATTCTGTCGCCTCTCTCTCATTAACGTCTCCTTTATCTCTATTTCTTTTTTCATTTAGGTGCAGTCCGTTGCTAGAACATATGTTTTGAAGTTTGCGAGTGTTGATGAGGTTCCAAGTTATCTCTTGGACTGAACCAACTCATAGTGCAGCGACAGAGAAAGGAATCGAAGCGACAAAAACAAAAGGCAAAAAACAGTTCACAAACCGCCCCCCTGTCGGCTACTACGTCTGGCCCCTATTGTTGAAAGCAGAATAACTCCCAGGTGAGCCCAGGAGGAAGCGACGCGCCCCCATTTGGGAGGGATTCGAACCCCCGACCTTATCGGCTGCGGCTGGTAGACCGCACGATGAATCATAAACCCCCAGACCACCGAAGGCCGTTTAACTTCTAGCACTTTGATCGATTGTTTTAGTACTTAATTAAATGGTAGCGAGGTATAGCCGATCTAATTGTCATTGGGAAGGCAGCAGGGCCGTTCTTTCCGCATGTTGTTTGGGTACGGGGAGAGCAGGTACAGGGGGACAAAGTGCGCGGGGAGCGAGGGAAGGTAGAGCCTTCGTTGGCAGCTGGGGTATATGGTAGCTCGGAGTACAATATAATACTCCTTTTGGAATTATAAAATGAAAAAGTTATTCGGACACGCTGGTGGTATGGGCAGCTAAGTGATTCCACGATTGTAATCGAATCGAGGGCCCTTTGGAAAACTAAGGGAAAAAAAAAAAGGTGACCTCCGGGATGTAAGTGTATTACCACTTGACCATCTAGGAGTAATTCATAGCGCGGTCTACCAGCAGTAACTGGGATCTTTATCAAGCTATATAAGGTATACGCATCCTTGGCTCCCAAACTTAATGTGTGCACGCTTCAATTTGGGCGCCGTGCCGCGCAATGAGTCAGCAGAGCCTCTTGTACCGAGGGTTCAATTTGGCGTCAGGCCCAAGTGTATGAAGTTAGAAGCCTGGTGTATACATTGTCTAGTTCTGCCAGAGACTAGCCTAACTAGCAGCTATGTAAAGCTATACGGTTATTACAATTATCGTTTACTCTGTTTGACCTTTTTCCTTTCCTTTTCCACTCCGTAAGCCCCAGTCCTAGCCGTGCTAGTAAACTAAAACTGGAATATAATATGCTACACCTAAGCAGCACAAATCGTGGCCGTCAAGTTGACGGGTTGCGGGCAACCATACACCTTCTTCATCGAGGGTGTAGAGTAGCAGGCAGCATCACCAGCAGCACAGTTGAAGTCTTGGCAACCTTCTCCCGGAGACAAGGTATTGTGGAAGCTTGCGAATGGATTGCCGAATTGCCTATTTGAGGGTTAGTGAAAATGTATGGGTCTCGTCGAATTGAAGCAACTCACGTGCTGAACTCGTCTATGAGAATATTATGTTAGCACAAGTATTGCAAGGCATACGCCGAAATTGTTGTACTTACAGTAAGCATAGTCCGGGTTTGAAGAGAATGAGTAGCCGAAGAAAAGGGGGTTGGTGAGGGTCTTAGTCGTCGCGATCTTGACAGTCTACATGTTTTATATGTCGTTAGCTTCCGAGATCTTTAGTGAGTAACATTCGGGAGAGACGAACGGAACCAGATGGCCGGAAGCTCTCAGAGAACGAGTTCCCCGGCGCTAGAGTTGTCAACGTCCCAGCAGCGCTGCCGTCATATGGAAATGACTGAACGTAGATGGTGGATTTGCAGTTGTTCTTCACGACGGCCTTCTGGGCAGACACGCCAGAGACGAGAAGGGCAGCGCCCACGATGGCGGCGAGAAGCTGCATGTTTAGGAATGGAGCGAAAACGAAGATAGGGATGGGTAACGAGGATGTTGGCTTGTCGACAATATCTAATGCGGATGTGCAGTGTAGACAAAGTCAGTGAACGATGCCCTACCCTTATATATTATACATCTCCTGATTTAAATGTCTTAGCGAAGAGTTGGTAATGGCATCATTAGGCGATGTCAGGCTATTGTCGTGTCTATGCGCAGTCTCGGCCGTACCGGGTGCAAGCTCCCGGTAGTATGACATGTGGAGAATTTGAATCATTCAAGTCAATCAAGTCATAGTCAAACATCATCAATACGAGCCTTCATATTCGTATTATGTTGACACGAGGGAGCTACAGGGGCCGCTGCTAGGGGTCGTGATCAACAACACCTATCGCTAAACTATCCCACCCTTGCAACCCCGCATAGCAATTCCAGAAATGGGACTCTATTCTCCGCTTGAAAACATATTCTCACCGCTAATAGTTCATGTCGAGTTGTATTTTGCGAACATCTGCATCGTACGCTTCGATATTGATCATGGCCAGTTCAGTAAGCGACGCAGCTCATAACCATCACTTTGGGTAGCGCCAAATATAAGACAGTCTCAATTCAGTGGCGTATGGTCGTTTGCTGTTCATTACGTTAGTGCCTATGCCGTAACTGTTTCTGTTTATTTCTTTACCCCTGACAATGATCCGAGAAATAATTATATTCGATGTCTCAAGGTGATGATATCCAAGTTGTCAGCGTGCGAACGGCGAGTTGATGCAGCATGACAAGATTCAATTTCCAGTTCGTAATTGTTTGCAACATATTCATTGCCAATTAGGCGATCACGCAACTGATTCGATGTCAACTTACCTCATACTAGGTCATTTCGCATTCCGACCTAATCGCTTGGCATGGCTGGCAAAGAGCTACTTAGCTTGGCGTGCCATATTTACGAGGACTCTGACTTCACTTCCCCGGCACTAGCCCTATACTGGGCTGGCCTAGGTGCTTCTACGCCTGCCCGTAAGCCTTAACCGAGAGCCAGAACCGGCAATTTCAGCTATTTTAGATACATGTAAGCCAATGGATGCTTGCTTGCAAATGCAGCGATCTGAGAGCGTTTGCATCTCCTCACTCATCCGGGCTAATCAGTTTCGTGTCTCAAATTGGTAGATGCTAGTTCCATCATCGCGAGATCTTAGGATAGAGAGCGCGTGACCCCCGGTGGCTAAGACAAAGGAGGATTATCTTTCAACAAATTCGGTTCGAAATAGTCAGCTGCGCACCATATTCCCCTATAAGGACCTGTCGCCTACATTCAATTTCCGCCTGCAGCGTACATGCTTAGAGGCTCAATACATGTGAGGAAATCTTTGCCATGCAACCCTGATGCCTCGCTCGTCAGGCATACTACCTGCTAAGCTTGTCGAGGGAAAGATTTCAGGGTCAAGACGCAGGCAGTGGTGCGGTGCTCTAGAGGGATTGGGCGTCAGACCTTCAATCAGCATTGACCGAAGTTATACCCGATCTCTTAGAGTTTGCAAATGTTAAGGATTCCTCTCATCTCTGCACCGCTTTTAGTATATTAACAATTTCCAACACGGGCTCCGGTATCGCGACCGCAGAAGGTGACCAGGAACCTAAAAATCCTCAGACATGCGCACCCCTTTTCGAGCATGCCAATCAAGAACTTCGTTATCCAGTACGTGTATGAGTCAGGGCTCAGGTCCAGAGATTACACGGTATTCTTAAGTCGTATTAAGTGAAGTATAGGGGAGAGTGCCTTCAATGAACAACCATCAAGCCCCTATCCTTACTTCTTACTAGAGTCTCCTTCTCAATTTGCTTATATCACTCTGTATACTCCCATATGAAGTCGATTTATGACCAGCAACATGAACGAGATGATATAAGGGAGTCGAATGAAATATGCATTCAACTACATAAGATGAAAGGGGGAGACGAGTACCAAACAGTGTCTTTAAAATAGATTACGGGACCAGGCCATCTGCATAGTTCAACGCATTTTTGCTATGAGGAAGCTGGGCTGAGCCTCGCCAAAATGTTGCAATGGTAGATAGTGGGTTTAAAGCCTCAGAATAGTGAAGCATGGCAACCCGCGGCTTACTTAGCTGCGGCTCGCATCCACCACAGGTTCCGAATGTGAAATCTTACGACTGCTGTGTAAAATGAACCGACAAATTCTCTTATGACGAGATCGGCCAAGTGTTAATGGAAGTTGAACTCGAGTATGAAAGTAAAAGTAAAGTACAGTTAATTAATGAAAGTGGAGTGCAAGTTTTCTTCAGCCACCTAATGTCTACAGGTTTTGTCTCCAGAGTCAAGCTGGGCTATAGTAAGCCAATTGCAGGTCGTAAGAATGGCGTAAGAGCTCGAGACCTTTACGTCCTAGAGTTTCTCCCAATCGCTTTTAGGGTGGACTAAGTTGTTATATGAAACATGCTAGGGTACCGCACACCTACTCCTAAGAGTCCTACTACCCCTTGCTACTCTTGTCTCCGAGATACCTACACGAATTCAGCGCATAACATACAAGCCGATATCTCTTGAACTGAACGTTTGCACTTTCATAGTGTATCAACATATAACAGCATGCCAAGTTACAGTCTATTCTATTCACTCCTAACAACTATAAGAAACACAGCGTCTATGTAACAATCGAGGTTACCCCTTCGCAACGAACTAGAAAGAGCCCACAGATCTATCTGTTCTTCCACTTAAACAGTTTCTCAAACACGAGACCGGACCTACTCCTTGACTGGCAAGGTCTCCAGAAGACGGCTCTTGTCCCTTCGAAGAGCTTCCTCAAGTGGGGTGAAATGGATACCGAACTTGGCCTGCGCTTCCCGTGCGGCGGAGAAGATAGGACCGAAATCCTTGAAGTTTGCAAAAAGCTGGAACAATTGGCCAGTGACTTGTTCGTCATTCTCCAGAGAGAACTTTCTCGTCGTAACATTCCTGCCAGTGACTCTCACTAGGATGTCGCGAACTTCTTCGATAGTCAAGCTTTCATTGACAAGCTCAATCTCCTGGCCTCCGAATTTGGCCGGATCTTGGAGGGCGGCAGTAGCGTACTTTCCGATATCGCTTGCATCCGTGTAGCCCATGCCGACGCCGTCGTTGAAGCGATGAACCAATTCCCCGTGCGTTGGGAGCCTTGGGAAGTTTCCGTAGGTATTGGGCACCATGAAGTCGACATGGATGAATGCTGGTCGGAGGATAGTCCAGGCTTCAAAGCCGGCACCACGTACAATATCCTCAACTGCGGCCTTGGAGGCATAATAATCGTGTAGATAGCATTCTCGAGTAATAGCATCATCCCATATCTCCTTGTTTCCTGCGCCCATGGTCGTACAGGCAACCACACTCTTGATACCTGCCTTCTTAGACGCCTCGACGATAGTCTTGGCTTGCTGCGTCTCCAAACCAGGAATGGGGAAGGTGTTCAAGTAGACTGCCTTGCAACCCTGTGCTGCTTGGAAAACCTCGTCGAAGTTGACACTTTCCCCTTTAAAGACCGTCACGCCTGGACTTTTCAAAACGTCGGGAATTTTTGAAGGATCACGCACAATAGCATGGACCTTTGCGCCTGTAGC